AATTATTAATATCAACTGTATATATGAGTATGACGATTCGAAAATAACTTCTTTGGTAAAGATTGCGTCATAAAGAATTTAATTTATTTACAAATGTGTGTGTAGATAATACATCCTATCTGAATATGGAGAAATATTACGTTCCCGTTGCGGAACCATTCCGTCGGAGTTTGTAACCGTTGGATCAACTATCCTCGATGGTTACACGATAATTTAAAGGTTACAAACTCCGACAAAATGATTCCGTAACGAGACTGTAGAATCTCCCTAAATATAATCCAAATATTATATTCTTCTAAGTTCTGACTTAATTAATATTGAATTATAAATTATTTCAGCAGGTCAAACCAACCAGCCTTATGAAAAATTAGTTATATTTTAACTGAGTTTTAATTTGAATACTACGTATATGATACAACCCGTCTATCGAAGAACTTGCCCTCCTCGTATTTTCTCAATTCATATATATTTTTTTTAATATTCAAAAGCGCGTGAGCTTTTCGTCCGAAGCGGGGCCCACAACAAGACAAAACACCCACCGGCCGTGGGCCGTGGCCCCCCTTCCCTGCCGTGACATCTTGGGCGGTACTGACACAATCGCCGACCACGGCGGAGCTACCCATAATTTTGTTCCCGCGATCACGGAGAAGCCGACACGTTGCTCCAGAATTAACTAATTGTAACTGCCACACACACAACACAATCCACCCACTGACCGTTTGATGGGCCTCCAACTACCAAAACCGACCGACGTATTTGGGCCCGCAATTTTTGTTTTCTATGGGCTGGCTGCTCACGCCTGCCATGCACGTGTCCGTGTGATTAATCATTAATTAATTTGAATGAATGCCCTGGTGACTTAAGGCAGGATTAATTTGCTTGAATTTGATTAATTATTAATTATTATTTACCCTCATATCATCATCTTAGTTTTGAAAATTGAATGAATAAAACAAGGGCAGTCATGATGAGTACGTGTCTAAACAGAAACAGTAGTGCTCACCTACTCATAGTGGGCACATGTTAATATACCCACCGTTTATGTGGCATGCACACATTGGTGATGTATTTTTTTTAACATATTAACATCACCGATAGGTGCATGCCACATAAACGGTGGACATATTAACATATGCCCACCGTGAGTAAGGGAACATTACTCTGTGTCTAAATACTGTTAAAAAATGGTTGATACAAGGATCATTCATTGGTGTCCGCGGGAATTTGGGAAGCATGAAAAAATATAAATGATTGTGACGACCAAATTATTTATTCTTTTCTTTAATATTTTAATTTTTTGACATGTTTAAAATATTCACAAAAAATTAAAAAATAAAAAAAAAAGTTGAGGGGGTGATTGTTTACAAAATAATTCAGTCACTTTTGTTTCAACTCAAAATCTAACTCAACTTTAATCCAATCCCACTATCTTTAATATTATTTATATAATTAAATAATATCAACCTGGTTACACATCACATCAACTTTAATTCACTATTCATCCACTCACATAATTTTAACGACCTATCATTTCCAATCATTTCCAATCATTTATCTCTTACTTTTACATCAAATCAATTTTAATTATTTTATTCTAAATATTATTTTAATGCATTCTTAAAATCTCACTACAACTAACCATACCACCTTTTTCAAAATTAACTATAGTTAACCAAAATAACTTAATTTGAACAAATTATTTCATAAACAATCAAGCCATTAATTTCCTTGTGCATGCGTTTTACGGTTAAACAAGAAAACACAAACTTGATTAATGTCACTAAATATAACTACAAATCTCAGATCTCATTATTTCACATAGATTTAATTGACACATTTTTATTAGATAAGTATTATTAATTAGTTTTCTCAACTATTGTCTCATGACCAGAAATAAATATTTGAAAAGCAAATTACAAAGTAACCCTATTGATTTTGTAGCATTCTGAGGTGAATAATATGAATATATGTAGTCAACTTGAATGTACAACATTATTATTTATATGAATATGTAGTCAACTTGAATGTACAATATTATTATTTATATTTAAGTGAAATTTCAATAATACTTTAAAGTTCATCTTAATTGCTTGGAATATGCCTTTGTGCCGGTTTAAGAGTGGTAATTCACCCTCGGTCTCTTAGCTCTAGTCTATGCCGAGGTAGTGATACTTCTCTTTTAGTCGAGACTTGTTTCTGCCATTTAGTATCTGATTGGATTGTTATGGGTTTTGTTGCCGCGAACATTGTAAATTCTTTTTGAACTATAAATCTTATCGTTTCG